ACAAGAAAATTAGTATCACAGGGCTTGCAAATCTAAGAGCTCTCCTTCATTGGGTGATCAGTTGGATAGAAAACTGTCTGTTTCAAGTTATAGGAAAATATAGGTTATGCTGGACTGACTAAGAGATACAATGTAAGTTTTTAAGCTTTTAAGTGAAACCTTCCTTGATCCTTTTTTTTTTTTTTTTTAACAAATAATGTCATTACTCAATATTTACTTCTGTGGTACTCTTAGAATCTAAGCCCTGCATAAGATGCCACACCATGCTGCAAATAATGGCATGACAGACTTTCCTAGGGCATGCTAGATAACTTAGTGCACATTGAAATAATTCTGTGGATGTATTTTTAAAAGTGGAAATGCAGGGCCTAAAGGTTTATCATTTTAAAAATTTTCAAAGTATCTCTGGATGCTAACCAAACTTACATTCCCTCAACGTCTTGTGAGAGTTCCATTTGTCCCACCTTTGATAACATGGATATTACCAATCTTTAAAAATTTTGCTGATATGATCCTTATTGTTTTAATTTTAATTACCGTGCTTAATACTCTGAGTGAACACCTTTGTGTATATTTTCCTCTGTTTGTATTTTTAAATCCCTCTACATCTTCTTGACTTCTTTAAATTGTTTTACTTTTCTTTGCAATGTTTTATGTTTTGTTCTTTATACTGAATCCATATTATTTTTGATTCTGCAGAGTCTTTTCAAAACTTTCATCGAGTCTGCATGGATGTGAATTTTAACTTGCTTATGGTTTCACTTATTATAAGTAATTTTGTGTGTGTGTGACTGTGAGTGCATTGTGATCTGTTTGAATGTGTGTTTGTTTACTGTTGTTAAATCTAATATTTTACTTTATTTTGCACTCTCTGTCTTGTAAAGTGATCTGCTAAGCCCATAAAATAAGTCCGGAAGTTCTCCAGTAATTTCTATATACTAGAATATGTCTAAAAATATAAGAATTATCTATTCTTGAAATATTGGTAGCAATTCCTTTAACACCATGTGCTGGGATGAAATTTAGGTATTCTTTGTGTGTTTCATATCCCGCTTCAGCAGTAATACTTTAATGGGCCTGTTTTTTAGTTTTGTATTGTTCCAGAAAACTTGCTCATTTCCAGGATCTTTTCTATTTCTTCCTACCAGCCAAATAGAAATACTGAGTTGCTGACAAACTTTGTGGATGTAATGAATTTTCTAGTCCAGCATTATATGGCACAAATTTTATGCTTTTCCCCTCAGCCAGTCAGCTTCCCTCTGAATTAGAATTTAACTGTGATAATTTAAAAAATTATTATTATGCTTTATGTTCTGGGATACATGTGCATAACGTGCAGGTTTGTTACATAGGTTTCTATGTCCCATGGTGGTTTGCTGCACTCATCAACCCCTCATCTACATTAGGTATTTCTTCTAATGCTATCCTTCCCATAGTCCCTCAACCCTTAACAGACCCCGGTTTATGATGTTCCCATCCCTGTGTCCATGTGCTCTCATTGTTTAACTCTGACTTACGAGTCAGACATGCAGAGTTTGTTTTTCTGTTCCTGTGTTAGTTTGCTGACATCTTTTAATTTTTGTATAAGATGTAAGGAAGGGGTCCAGTTTCAGTTTTCTAAATATGGCTATCCAGTTCCCCAGCACCATTTATTAAATAGGGAATCATTTCCCGATTGTTTGTCAGGTTTGTCAAAGATCCGATGGTTGTAGATGTGTGGCATTATTTCTGAGGCCTGTTTTCTGTCCCATTGGTCTATATATCTATTTTGGTAGCAGCACTATGCTGTTTTGGTTACTGTAGGCTTGTAGTATAGTTTTAGGTCAGGTAGTGTGATTCCGCCAGGTATGTTCCTGTTGGTTAGGACTGCCTTGGCTATACAGGTCCTTTTTTTGGTTCCATATGAAATTTGGAGTAGTTTCTTCTAATTCTGTGAAGAATGTCAATAGTAGCTTGATGGGGATAGCATTAAATCTATAAGTTACTTTGGGAAGTATGGCCATTTTCATGATACTGAATCTTTCTATCCATGAGCATGGAATGTTTTTCCATTTATTTGTGTCCTCTCCTGTGTCCTTGAGCTGTGGTTTCTAGTTCTCCTTGAAGAGGTCCTTCAAATCCCTTGTAAGTTGTATTCCTAGGTATTTTATTCTCTTTGTGCTCGCTGTTTACTCTCTGTTCTGTTTCTAGAGAGATGATTAGGAGATGTACATCACAGACAATATAGTGATTAAGCAGATTTAACTTAGAGGCAGACTGCTAAGGTTTGAGTTAGGACTGTGGTACTAATTAAGTTTTTAAACTTGAAGTTACATAATATAAATGTGTCTCAGTTTCTTCAGTAGTTAAGGCAATAACTATGTAAATGTTAGTTAAATACCTCATTAGTTGTTATAAACTCAGCAAATGTTACCGCGTGTTACTATTATCATTTAATAGGAGGATGGAAGATTGATTGGGAATAAATTATTGCAGTCATGTAATATTTGTGTCACTTATAAATCTTAATCCTCGAATTAACATTTGTGGAAATTTATAAATATTTTCTATTGTTTAATTGCATTTTCACATTTTTAAACTTAACTGAAATATAGCATATATTAAAGAAAATACACCAAACATATGTGCTCAATACATTTTCACAATACATGTAAGTATGCAACTGCAATATGTGTAAAAAATAAACTATTGCTAACATCCTAGAAGCTTACTCATGCCTTTTTCTAGTTGCTAATCTTTTTTTGCCTCTGCCTCTAACGTTTCCTTATTTTGACCCTAACTCTATAGTCTACTTTTGCCTGGTTTTGAGCTTGAAATAAATAAAATCATAATTTTATGATTTTATTTTATTTATAAATTCCTTTATTCCTGGCATTTTTTATTCAACATTATGCTTTAGTCTATAGTTTTAGTATGTTAGTTTTCATTGCTACATAATAACATTTTATTGTATAAAAATAACAACATGCAACCATTCCACTAATGGTAAACATTTCAGTTATTTAAATGCGTGGCTGTTATAAATAAGATTGCTATTAATTTTATATGTCTTTGGTGCACACGTGTGTACCAAGATGCACACGAACACATGCATGAAACTGCTAGGTGGTAGCATACATACGTATGTATCATACATACATGTTTAACCTTGTAGACAAAGGCACATTGATTTTTTTCAAAATCACTGTTATGCTGTCAGTGTTTATGAGGGTTTCTGTTTCTGCAAATCCTTGCAAACAGTTGGTTTAAATATTAATAATTCTGGTTAATGTATTTTCATATAACGTATTGTGATTTGTGATTTTAATTTGTATTTGCACAATTTCTAATCAATTGTCCACTTTTTATTACATTTATTAAGTTTTTGGGTATCCTCATTCATGACAAGCCTATTCTGCCACCTTGCCTAAATATCTATGAGATAGAATTTCCATTTCTCATTGCTGTGTAGTAGTTACTTATAGTTTCATAATTTCAGCTTCTTTTCAAATTCATGGATTGCAAAATGTATGTTTTATATTTACAGTATTAGGTTTCGCAATCCTTGAAAATATTTTTTTTCATTTATTTAGCTATTCTTTATTTTTTCTAAATTTTAAAAATATTTTTCTGTAGAGATCTTCAACATATTTTATGTTTCTTCATAGTTATTCACATTTTAAAAAGTATATTTTTAAATATCCTTTAAATATATTATATATATTACATTTATAGGTGGCGCCCAACTAGATTTTGAGAAGGCAAATGTGCTTCGGATGTTTCTTCTAGATGAATCACATCTATATTGCGGGGGGTGTTTGCAAGGTAGTGGAGAAGGAGAATTGAAGTAGAAGGCCTTTACAACAAGCTAAGTGGTGCATAGTTAGGGCTTGATATAGATAAAAAGGAATTAATAAGTGATGAATATGAGCAAAATCTCAGCATCTGAGTCTGCAGAAATTGGCATGTTTTGACTGTGAAGAGTGATGGATAGGATGAAAGATGAAAAGTTACTTTCCTACCAAAAATTGCATGATTTATTTTCTTCTGGAAGAATAAAATAAGATATCGGTGTTCAATGGGAGTCAAGAGAAAGCAGAGGAAGTCATGACTATGTTTTTACAAATTTTCATGGCAGCCTCTTTTCACATTCTTTTCTGGTATGTTCACTACATATGCTCTCAAAGGAAAAATTATTTTTTTTTCTCCTTCTCTTTGTGACTAGTCTTTGTTCATCATGAGAAATACTCCATGACTACAGACATAAAGAAAAAGCATTCCATTAAAGTTTCAATGATGGGTTAGGAACTGAGAAGTCGGTGAAATCTTCTGCCTAGGTGTATCCTTGGAAAAGCCACTGCTATGCCCAACCAGCACTGGGAATCCCAGATCACATGCAATCATAGGAGATGCCCTGGCATGCAGATGTTTAGCATATGTTCTGGTAGAAGGAGATTACAGTGTTGTGTAAAGCAAAGAGATGAAGGATGTCCAACTCTCTAACATAGGCCTCGGTTTCCACATAGAGGTAGGAAATGAGCTAGGAAGCAAATCTACCATAAATAGAGAAAGAGGAGAAGCCAGTTGAGCTTTTAATAACCCTATGGCCTGACTCACTGGGGTGGAAATGGAAAGAGACCCTTATGCAAGCATAAAGTATGTCATGTATAACTTGTACCAATAATGATTTTCTCTCCCACAACCTCAATTTTGCCCAGATTGAATTCTATCTTATTTCCTTATTTTTTCACAGTAATTTATTTAAGTAAAACTAGGATTTCTTTTATTCACCTCCATTTCAGTTGCTAAGTCTAAGGGATTTACATAGTTCCAAAAATATGAGAAAAGATGATTGGGTGAAATTGCACAACACATTATTACCTGATGTATAGTCATTGATTTTGTATGCTAGCCTTGACCCCTGGCTATGGACAATTCTGGCTTTTGAAGATTCAAAGAGAGACTTGTAAACACTTTACTTTTTTATCATACTCATACCTGGGACAGAAAAGTATCATTTCATACTTTAAAAGCATTTTTATCGTACATGTGTTTAAATAATTCATAAGAACAAGTAATAATACCTCATGTTATCTATTTTTCAAAAATATTTCATATTTTTCCACCTCTTCTTTCAGATGATCTTTAGAAAAACTTGTGAAGATTCAATGTGGCGGTTGTCTTTCAAAGATGGTCTTGTCAATCACAAGGTCAGTTTTTTAGCTTTGCAATATGATAAGATGATGTGCATTTGTTTAGAGGGAGACTTCAGGATATAACAAAGTGTTTTACAAATGTTTACCATTTTTATTCTCATCAGATTTTTGAAAGTATTTTGTTTAAAATTTTCTTCTTTTCAACCATCTCTTTAAGTTACCCATCAATTCTTGTTAAGAGTGTACTTTGTGTATCTCTCTGTACATTTGGTATATTTTTGTGTGAATTGTGTTATTTTTCTATTTAGTCTATATCTCCAATATGACTAAATATGTATATGAATGCCATATTTTGGTAGTGATTATTCCCTTTTATTATTAATACATTCTAATTTATTTCAAGTTGTCATCTCTGTAATACATAATATTCTATAAAATGTTGAATCCATTTTTTATGTTTTAGAATTTCTCAGTTATAATTGCACATAAATTAATATTTCAATTGATGTTATGATGTACACAGTGTTTTTTTACTATGCATTATAATGTTTATCATCCAAACTACCCTTTCAAATGTGTTTTATTCTCCTCCATTTTATATCTTAGTGAAGATGTCCCTCCTAAACTTAACTGTTAAATGAAATAAATAAACTAGGAATTAATTCCACACTCTCTTTCTTCATTAAGTCATGCTGATCTTACGCCTCAACGGTTCTTAAATTCAATTTTTATTTTTCCCCACACTTTTGTCCAGGGTAGATGCTCAACATCATCTTTCCTGGATTGCTGGCTCAACCTCTTGATTCTTTGTCTTCTCTCATGTCCTGCCAGCCTCATACCTGCCCCCTAGCCTGTGGCCAGAGTGCGTCAACTGAACATGCTACTTAATTTCTGAGACACATTTTAAAAAAACCTATCTATCTATAACTCTCCCTTTCTTGATTCATCGCACTTCACAAAGGGGTGACAAATGTGGTTAGATATTGATGTCCTCCCCTCCTAGGGCCACAGCAAGGGTCTCATGGTTGCTGCAGTGCCCCAGCCAAGGAAAGCTTCATACTTACCTTAGTGCATTATGCAATCTTCCTCATTTCCTAAATATTGGTGGACATGAATAAATGTGGAAAGTATTAAATTAAAATATTTAAAGTCCTTTAAATGATATAGAAAATCTTCCTAGACTAGGAAGCATAGCTAAACTATATAATACCCTTGTGAAAATCTTTAAAAAGATATCACTTAGCCCCTAACAGACAGATGATTTTTAAAAGAGGCACCAAGTAGACAGCTGGTATAATTGATAATTTGTTTTTGCTAAGAATGAGGTGGGGGAGGTTGGGGAGGAAGAGAGAGAGAGAGACAGAGAGAGAGAGAGAGAGAAAAGGAAAGAGAATTACTTATTAATTCTCAGGGGCAGATTCAGCCCTGTGTTAAGTTCCAGGAATTGGGCCAGTTTTACAAACTGCATAACAGTGAGCAGAGGCCAAACTCCCGTTACCTGATCTCTTGGTGTATTGCCTTTCTGTAAGCTATTCATCATGCTGTTTTACAAATTATGTCTTTTCTATCTTTGGCATCACTGATTAGGAAAACCTTACTCTGTTTCCTTAAAGGATTCTTACCTATCCGTACTTTCAACTAGTGTAACCTTTTTTCTTGAGTCCTGTCTTGCTTCCATCAAATCTAGTGTGTAATATTATCATAGACATGATCACACCATTTTCTCTATATAGTGTTTATATTTTCCAAGGGACAAAAACACTATAAAGTTACACTACTTCTCAATCCAGCAATTTTACTCTTAGTTATCTGCCCAAGAGTAATGAAACATATATCTACACACACTGGCACATAAAGGTTCTTGTCAGTGTTATTAATAATTTTTACAGTGAAAACAATCTAATTGTATGTCACCTGGTGAATGAATCAACAATCTATCCAAATGGTAAAATACTGCTTAGCTATAAAAAGAACAAACTGGAGATACATACTACTATGTAGATGAACCTCATAATTTCATACACACTGAAAGAAGCCAGGTACCATAAATCACATACTGTGAGATTCAATTTATACATAATGTCCAGGAAAGGCAAATCTTCGGAGATAGAAAGTAGACTGGTGAATGACTTGAATAATGGAGAAGGAGAGTGACAGTTAATGTGCACATAGAATCTCAGTGAAGTGATGAAATATTTGAACACTGACTTATGTTAATGGTTTCAAAGCTTGGCAAATTTACTAAAATATCAGTGAATTCTATACTTGAAATGGTTGACTTATATGATACATAAAAGATGACTCAGATAAGTTATTTTTTGAAACAGATTAGTTGTCTTTTCATTTCTGAGGTTTGAACCAGCACCCCAAGATCTGGCTCATGCACAATCTCTACTCAACGTTTTCCCCAATTTAAAAAACATTAGCTATTACTCATTTGTTTATAATAAGAGTATAGAGGCCTTATTTTCAATTTGATAGATATTTGGTTAATATTAAAAAGTCAGCCATGATTCTAATATGCTTTTCTAAATAGAGTATTTTATTAACTAGTCACAGTTCAGTTTGTGTTTTCCCATTGCTAAAAAAAAGATTTTTTTGGGTGATCCCTAAAATAAAAGATTCTGTAATAAAATAAAGTTTGTAAAATTGCATTATATAGCCCTTTCTTGAAAGATTCATAACAGACACTATTATATAGTTTTAGGAATCTCGAGTTACAAGCTTTACATTTATTTCTTGTTTGGTTGTTGCTATGATAGTGCTATGTTTTTTAGGAGCCAAAATTATAATAGTATACAAGAATATACATGAATTTTCCAAGCACAGATCTGAAGACCCATTCAATGTAGACCTAGCTGCTTTTTATACATCATTCATTCTTGGATCTGGGTGAACGGACAGAATCTATCTGGAGCTGGCTTTTTGCTGTAAATAAAAGGAGACAAGATACCATGATACACCACACAGACACATATAGGACTTTTGCTTGGATGTGGAATGTATTATTCTCGTTCAATGATATGTGGACCTATATCTTACCCAGGGTGAAGTAATGGCAAGGGAGGGTATGAAACATACATGACCTTGCTATTCAGAGTTTTCTTACTTTTAAATAGATCTCACTGCCCATTTTTTTCACAATACATTTTTGAATCCTAGATTCATGGATTATATTTTGAGAAACAATGATAATGTGAAATTGTAATTATTATCTCTGAATGTATATTAAAATCATATGTAGTGTTTTTAAAAATATTGATAGCCACTTTCCACCTATGCCAATTGATGAAACAGTCTTGGGGGAGTGGAATCCAGGCATTGGTATTTTAAAATTCTCTTCATTTGATCTTAGAATATATATAAAAAGTTTGAGAACGACTGCTGTAGAGAAATGGAATGTGGCAGAATAGTTTTCATATTCTTTATTTGAACATTTCTAACTGGAATTCAATATTTATATATATATAACTTAGCTTAAGTTCATTACACTTCAAGCAGATCTGAATTTTATTCTCTTAGTTACAGAAAGAGTAGTGATTCTTGAAGTCTGATATAGAGCTTTATTTTAGCCTTTTCTGGATTATATATTCCATTCTCCTTGGAGTCAGTCTGTAGACACCAGATCATAAATCCATTTGTAGAATTTTCAGTGCATTATATTTTGCTGGTATATTTCTACATAGAGGAGAGAACATATTTTGGGCCATAGATACACTATGATTAAGTATTATGTCTTCCAGGAGAAATGCGAAGCACAATATGGTTTCAATGATATATATTTGCATAATTTAAAAAATGTAGAGCTAAGGAATTGCAACATTATTTCAGAAGTTCCACAAGATGTTAAATTTTTGTAGTTTCAAACATTTCAATCACCCTATGGGAAACTCCTATTATTTTTTACCATAAATTCAGTATCTATTTTTTGACTTGAATTACATATATTGCCTTATAAAGTTTTCAAACACTTTGACTATAAAACATTATTTAATAACCTACATTTAATAAGTCAGAAATGTTCTATTTGTATTATCACCTTATTCATACTTCTGATTTGAAATTCTTGGGGACTAACATGTAACATGGTGATTCAGAGGACAGAATAATAAAGAAATGAGAAGTCTAAATCATATTAAAACATATAAAGCAATAAAAAAGGAAGAATCAATACAAAAGAAAAGCATAGTATGTAAAACAGGATGAAGTAATCAGTAGCAGTGGATCATAGCATACAGTTGCAGATGATTAAAGGAAAATACACTTGAGATATGTAGTGATACTAAAGAGGGACAACAAATTTCCACTGCACAACATCAGAGGATTAAAGGAATTCTGAACAATATTACCAAAGTTGAACTATTACCAAAGAATATCAAAGCTCTAAAACTCTTGGAACATTTTACAAAATAATATTTGAAAATAGTTCTGCTTTCAGGTCACCAAAGAAGAAAACCAAAGTGTCCAGTTTCTAAGATCTAACAGGACCTTAAATCCTATATTAGGAGACTAGGACTCTAATTTAATCTAATTTTATCCCATGGTAGCCTAATTTTATTTTACCACAGGATAAAATTAGATATTACTAAGTAGTTATTACTTATTTTCTAAGGAACTGATGTGAATTATTAAAGTTTCTTATTACTACACTAAAAAAAAAAAAATCACCACAAAATTGGTGGACTAAAACAATAGCAACCATTGAACTTTTCTTTTCCATGTTCCTAGGGGCTGACTGTTCTCAGTTGAGTGATTCTCACTTGGAATCTTGCTTATGTTTCCAGGGAAATGGTGGTTGAGACTGGAATGATTTCAAAGGTTTTTTCTCTCACAAGTCTCCGTGTGACTTGCCCTTCTTCACATTATGATAGCTGAATTATAACAAGAATCTTAAGTGACAAAGCAGAAGCCAGAAGGTGTATTCCTATTTAGGTCCTAACTTTGGAAATTATAGCATATCACTTCCTTTCTATTCCAGACATTCAAGAGGATATGCAGAGCCCATTCTTTCAAAAAGAGGAGCGTAAACTTCGCATAAAAACATGGAAGATGGAAAATATTTTGGCCACTATCTTGGAAATGTAATCCGCCACATGGATCTTAAGATTCATTTTTTATTTTTGCTTGTTGTGAGCAATAAAATATTTACCTAGGCTTATATAATGCATACATCACAATTTTCCCAAAGAAGAATTTTAATATGGGAGTTTTGGATACACACAGGATGTGAATTGCAGACGTTCTCCTAAGAGTTTACCTAGTTGTTTAAGGTATGAGAAAGGCCTTTGTCTGAGACCCCGAAACATATCACTCTTTCTTTCTCTTATTCATTAAAATGCAGACTTAGTCTTGTAGTTCCTCTGAAATTCTAAGCTGGTTATCGTCTCATGATCTCTGCTTATGTTTGTTAATTTGTCCCCTGGATCTTTGCATAATGTCTTAATTAGCTTGGGCTGCCATAATAAAATACCGTAGGCTGGGTGACTTGAATGACAGAAATTTATTTCTCATAATTGTGGAGGCTAAAATTATCAGATCAGGGTGCCAGCAAGGTTGGGTTCTGTTGAGAGGTCTCCTAGCTTGCAGAGGGCCACCTTCTATATATGCTCCTATGCAGAGAAGAGTGAGAGCAAGCTCTCTGGTACTTCTTCTTATAAGGACACTAATCTGGAAGGCACCCACCCTTTGATCTCATCTAAACATAATCAGTTTCCGAAGTTTCCATCTTCAAATACCTTCAGATGAGAGATTAGGGCTTCACATATGAATTCAGGGGATGGGGCAATTCAGTCCACAGCACATAGGTAACTCCTTCTCGTATTTTCTCTCTCAGCTCATATATCAAGCCTTCTCTGGCCATCCTGTTCACAATAGTTCTGTTCTTCTCCACACATTTTTATTATGTTGCCTATTTTCTTCAGTGCATTTACACTCATCTTTCCCTTGTTTATATTAGATTGAAATCTCAACAAAAGTAGCTTTTTATGTTCATGCTAGAACAGTGCTTAGTGCAGACAAGCCTTCAGAAAATGGTCCATGGTTGGGTGAATGAGTTGATGACTCACCAGAATAATCATATATGAGTGCTTTGGCAGCTTTAATTTTAGGGGAGAGGTACTCTTTCTTAAATGGTCATAAATCAACCCACCTACAGCTTTTATGCATTCATTCCTATTCTTTTATCCTGCAGCCACAGAGAAAGTCATTAATTCTTTGACATAATCAACTGCACTTGAAAAATTTATAAACAGCTCTTCTGTCCCATTTATATCTTCACGTTAAAGGTTGTGTATGCTTACAAACACATTTAATATGACAGTTTTCTAATCCTCTTGTCATCAGTGACACTTTTCTCTACAAGTTTTCAGTTTTCAAATGATTCTTTGAAAGTGTGTGCTCCCAGTAGAATATAGCACTCTAGGTAATGCCTCACTAAGCTGAGGATATAATAGGCCATCATTTCCCTTGTTAGGGGCTGTGTATTTTTATTGACGCTGAATAAAATATTTTGCTTTTTCTGAAGAAACATGATTCACAAACAATCAAATGCATATTTCCATTTTTAATTTTGTCTATTTTGCCAAAGCTAAAATCAGTTTTGCCAAGTGTCAGATATCAAGAATTTTAGGGCCTTTCAAACTGACATTTAAAAACCAAGAAAACAACAAAAAAAGTTATTCTAAATGGGTTAAGATTCCAAAATAAATCCAGAGAATTGACACAAAATGAGATCATGCTGTTTTCACAAGCAAGATCAAAAGAAGCTTCCAAATAATTCATGAGACTTCTGATTTAATGCCATATGGCTGGCATCTTTGCAATAATCAGCTTGAATTTCCAATTTAAAAAATGATAAAGACCTTCAAAGGAAGAAATGAAAATAACAAACACTAAAATTGATTAACAACCAATGATTAGAATCAGTTAAATTTTAACAATTACTTCCCTTTTTGGTTGGATTAAGGCTATTTTTTTTTTCATATGTCCTACTCATATTTAGACTCTAAATTCTGTAATCTCTAGAACTTTGTTAAGAATATCACTATAGTAGTCAGTCATACTGGGTTCAAATCACAGGGTCAACCTTGTTGATTTTAAGGCAAGTTACTTAGCATCTTCATGCCTCAGTTTCCTTGTTTGTAAAATGAGAGTATTAATAGCATCAAATCAGAATTAAATACAAGATAAAATAATGTGCATATGCCTCAGTAAGTATAAAACAGGTATTCAATAAAAGTAAGAAATTGATGGTGAAGTGGTTATTATAGAATAAAATATTTAAGTTTGCTTGAAGACATTTAGAGATATATAATCCTTTCATCAATGGCTTCCCTATTGGCAAAGCAATTCACATTTCAACACCAGAATTTGTAGTTCTAATGAAAAAATTTCGCTAAATTTCTAATGAAAAAATTTTACCTTTGAAGGTATCTGGGTCGCCAAGACCACCATCACCACCTCCACTACTCTTGTGTCTCAATCCATTGATCTCTCCACTAGACCCTGGCCACTTCAGCTCCTTTTTGTAGACTGCAAGCATAAGTATCAACTGAAGCAAGTTAGAATCTTAGAACCTCAGGCCCTAGCCTAGATTTAACTCTGAAATCTGCCTTTTAATAAGACCCCAAGTTTATTCATATGTTTATCAATATACAAGAATCTCTGCTGTATATTTATCCAGAGGCTGCAGCTCCAGCAAAAGACTGTTCAAAACAGTAAATATAAGAGTATGAAATTGTTACTTAAATCCTGAAAATTTTTAAAGTCTGTTAATAAATCCAGATGTTCGGGTATGGAACCAAAAGCAAGAGAAATATTCTTAGATTTAAAGTTTTATCAATTGTATTTGCATATACCTGGGTATCATGTAAAGGAAGATAGAAATAATTGATTGTATAGTGTTTCTTGCTGGAAGCAGGATATATCAATGACTTTCAGCTCCAGATCTGCAAGAAGATTTGAATAGCATCTAGTTAGATAGCAAATAGAGAAAGGACTTTGACAAGTAGTATTTGTATTAAACAAAACATTTGAATAAACTTTTCACAACAAATACAACACTTAAAAAAACATTAATAATTGGAAAAGAGCCCAGTCACAGGAGACACTGAATAAATATATGTTGAAGTCAACCAAAAAGTGGAAAGAGAAAATTACAAAGAACAGACAGTCTTTCAGATTTTAGGAAGCTCTGTTTAGTGGCAAAAAGAGGAAATTTCAAGACAATGCCCTAAGTGCAGGATAGGAGTATGTAAAGAGCTTGTGCAAACTCTTGCATGTATCTCACTCAGCTTGTGTGTATGTGGGTATAAGACGGATCTCTGTAAGTGAGTACATTTTACCTCAATTTAAAAGGCATGATTGCTGCTTATGGGATATAAGGGAAGGTAATGATATTCCAGAAAATTTGATGTAGCCTTTCCTGTGAGTCATGTATGATCAGCCAGCAGCACAAGTTGTCTTGGGAGGAATATCAGAATTCACAATGTCGAGGTTATTGCATGAGGAGCTTGTGTAGGGTGGAGTGGGGTGGAGGTAATTATAGAGGAGACTTGGAAATGTTTTAAGGGGAAAAATGCTAAGATCAGGTTTTAGTTTCATATAATAATAATGTATATTAGCATATTATGCTGAGAATGTAATATATATATAGTCTCATTTAAACCTAATAAAACCCTATACATTATGGGCAATTATTCCCATTTCAAAGATGAGAAAGTGTGAGCTTAGAAAAGTTAAGTTTTCAAAATTATGTGTAATAGAGTCACACTTCTCCAGTATGAACTGGTTGATCTTCATGTCTGGTGCAAACACTTAGTTTGGTATCTCAATTCATTGTCTTCCTGGGAATTTTACTCACATTCCTGTTGTTTTTGATTTCTCAGCTTATGTAATTTATGTCCCTTTCTTGGCTTACTGTCTTACTTGAGGTACACGTCTTCTAATAACAGATTTAAAACTGTTCCTTGGGAGAAAAATGTATGGAGATCATAAATGTCTGAAAATATTTGTCTTCTACCCTTATACCTAATTTTCTGAGTATAAAATTTTGAGGTTGGAAATTATTTTCCATCAGTCTTTTAACCACTGCTACATTGCATTTCTTTTCTTTTTTTGCTTGCAGAGATGCTATTGAGAAATCTCAAGCCATTTGGAGATCTGATCTTTTATCTGATATTTATCTTTTATATTTTCTCTAAAAGCTTTTTGATTCTTCTCATTGGTCATAGTGCTCTGATAGTCCACAAACATGTGCTTTTGACTGTAACTTGGTATGAATTTATTTCATAGAATGTGGTAATCACTTAGAGTTGTATCTTTTAATCTGAAAGTAGGCATTCTCTGGTTCTGAAAAACTCGCTTATCTCCATTCTATTTTCTCTGTAAGCAGTTTTTGGAAGAGTTTTTTATACTGCAATCATCTAATTTAATTAATTTTATCTCATATTTTCTTTGTGTTCAATTTTTTGAATTCTTCAACTTTATTTTTATATTGTTTTCTTTTATTATCATATTTTAAATTCCATGATTTCGTTTTAATTCTTGATTTCTTTTGTATTATGATATCAGGGTTCTATACCTTTTGGTACAATTCTGAAGACATTAAAATAGTTTTTAATGTCTGCATAATTTGTTTCCATCAATTGGCTTGTTTTCTATTTATGTTGTTCTTTTTTAGAAGTTTTCTTTAGATATCTCATAATCTTTTATTGTCAGTTTATATGTAAGAGTAAAAATATTTTAAAAATTAAAACTTGACTTCAAATTTTGAACCTAGGATTGAGCGTGGTGACCTTGGAATTCGCTATATGCTGATCTATGTGGGGTGATTATTGGATGATTTCTCATTCCATCATATTTGAGTCTTTCTTCTTGACAAACCAAATTTTTCACAGAAGAGAGTTCCAATCTCCTGTTCAGAGTTATGTCTACCTTCTAGAATTTTGTAAGAACAGGGAAGTAGGAGCATGAAGTTTCAACATTCAGCACCCAGTTTTCCCTTTTCTCATAATACCTATATATTCAATTATCAAAGGATCTTCCAGACTTGAAACAATGTTTTATTCTTCCCAATAGTATTGAGTAAGGTAGCAGAGGATAGCTTATAAGGACTTCTAAAACTTTTTCTTATCCATTTCTCCTCATTGAGTGGCATCCCTTCAGGTAAGCCATCAGGTGAGGCTAGAATGTGTTGTCTTTCTTATTAAAACTACACATCTCAAGACCTAATCCATTACTATTCATAACAATAATAGGTCCTCTTAGGGTT